GTAAATTCCAATTTGCCCGATCAAGTTACGTGGTGAACGAGAACGATGGTTCAGTGAAATTGCAGATCGATAGAATATCCGGATCACTCAATAAAGTCACTTTGTACTGGAAATCCACTGGTATATCGGCTACACTTAACAGCGACTACAAAGGTGCTTCTGGATCTATAACATTTGGTGTTGGTGAAAAATGGAAATCCATCGTTATTCCCATCGTCAACAATCAGGTGGGTTTTAGTAAGGATGTTTGAACGGATTTGTTTTTAAATTTTCTAATGTTACAAAAAATTCGATACTTTCATCAGAATGAATCTATAAAAGCCAGATATGATTGTTTAATAATAATAAAATAATTTGTGTATACATTTCATGTAAGTGGGTAATATAACGAGTTCTTTATCTTCGTACAGGTCTTTGAGCAAACAGAAACGTTCAAAGTAACCTTAACATCAGCAAGTACTGGAGGAGAAGTAGGCCCCCGTCGGGACACAGTTGTTACGATTAAGGATGATGATTGTAAGTATTTTTCTCACAACGAAAGTATCTTTAAGATGTGATTTAGAAACGGTTATGGATTAAAGGTTTAATTTTCAAATCATATTATGTCACGAAGATAAATGATCAAAATAATGCACCAAGTTGAATCTGCACCATTCTTTCAAATATTCCCATACGTAGTGACGGGTTACCCTCAGCGGATACATTTTATATACAGAAACTTTTGTTTGTATTTAAGTACAATTGCTCGCCGAGTTGCGCTGACATGTGCGCACAACTGTGCGATTAGGTATAGTTGGTCAATATAACGTAATGATTGAAAATAAATTATCGCTGATGAGATAGATGACTGACAGTTTCTTGTATCAAAACACAATAGGTGTTGAATATAATTGCGTTTTCCAGTCAGTTGACGCTAGTAACATGTATGTTAATTTATATGACAACTATCTTGCAAAAACCTTTTAGATATACATGGTTTTAGCAATGAACGTTCTGCGTCAGGGTCATTGGGACAATAACGGTAGATAATATTTGTCATTCAGATTCCGAAACTTAAACAAACTATTAAGCAAAATGATTTTTCACTAGAAAAACTCAAATAATGTTACTATTGTTATTTACAGTGCCGTGTGGAGGAAAGTGCAAGTATTATTCGAACTCCTATTGTAATCTCAAAACCAACAAATGTGTTTGTAAGCAGAACTTCTACGGAAATCCGTACATTGGAGGATGCCGATGCGGTGGTGGTGGAGGAGGAGGAGGAGGCTACTAGTCTTACTGGTTTCATTTGTTCTGTGTCAAATTTCAAAGTGCACTAGAAAACACTGTAAATGCCAATAAAAATGGAGCATTATTTCAACGTTTATGTTTTAAATGTATCGTTTTTGAACAAGTTTTATGAAGTTAAAATAAAACGAATGCAGATACGGTTTGGCCAACGGTAAATACACCATCCAAATATACCCTGTTCAGCAGATCAGCATTGGGCCGATATAAAAAAAAGATCTTCTTAGTCTATTTGGCATTTTATTTCATAGGTTTGCTGCATATTTAGATGGGTTTGGTTTTATTTTCTTTAACGTCCTATTAACATCAATCGGCATTTAAGGCCGTGCCTCTATGTGTGTTGTGTAAGCGTACATGTATGTATGTGTGCTGGAGACAGGGTATGCTGGTGTGATTGCCTCTTTGTAATAAAATTGATCTAATGCCGACTTTATGGTGCTATCGCACTGACATACTATGCCTAAGGTACCCGGCACAGCAGTCCGCCCGGTCACATTAGGATGACGTATATATGGAGAACTTGTCAGTACGGGTAACACTGACGAAATAAACTGTCATCCTTTTTTTAATTTGAAATGGATTAATACCACATTAAAAACGAGTATCATCCGTATTAACACTGTTGAAATATATCAATGAGCTCAGCACGAGTCCACATCCAAATATGTAGAGAATTGTGAAACATTACGTTCTACTTTAAGCACAGAATTTGCGCTCTCTTACGATTCGTTAGTGCCTCCTTGATTTCCCGCATCGCATCATCTGTGTGTAACTCATCGCATACAATATATCAACGATTGAATCGTGTTAATTTCGTATGGTCAGACTTTTTGCTAATATAATGACAAAACAATGATATATTTCAATCTTTGTCAAATGTCTTACTTTACGGCTACAAATCTTGAAATATCAATGAGATGCAGATATGAAAAATTACGCTTTCTACGATAAAAAAAAGGAATGACGCATATAACGTATGATTATTATTATTATATTCTGAACGGCCCATCAACAAATAAGAGGTCATTAGAACCAATAAAAGTAGACAAAACATGTTAAAGGAAAATACAACAAACGAACGAAAAAGGTAAAAGACAAGCGTTAACTTGAATCAATTGCAAAAGTGGCTATGATTTAGGTACACTACACACATGCATCTTGCACACAGGGGGGACCGTCCTTTTAATGACCATAGCTGCTAATACGACGTTAAGCAATACTAAACCAAACCAAACCAAGGTTGTCTCCATACTCTAACGCGCCTGTCGGTGAAGTCGAGACAGACTCGGGACTCGTCAGTAAAAAGAACCGGTTCCCATTCCTGAAGAGTCCAAGTGCTGTGAGCTTGGGCCCAATCTAATCGGTCCCTAACATGGCGGGCAAGTAAGGGAACTCGTATTGCTGGTCTACATGACCTTAAACCAACATCATGAAGACGGATTAATACCACATTAAAAACGAGTATCATCCGTATTAACACTGTTGAAATATATCAATGAGCTCAGCACGAGTCCACATCCAAATATGTAGAGAATTGTGAAACATTACGTTCTACTTTAAGCACAGAATTTGCGCTCTCTTGCAATTCGTTAGTGCCTCCTTGATTTCCCGCATCGAATCATCTGTGTGTAACTCATCGCATACAATATATCAACGATTGAATCGTGTTAATTTCGTATGGTCAGACTTTTTGCTAATATAATGACAAAACAATGATATATTTCAACCTTTGTCAAATTCTTACTTTACGGCTACAAAATCTTGAAATATCAATGAAATGCAGATATGAAAAATTACGCTTTCTACGATATAAAAAAGGAATGACGCATAAAACGTATTATTATTATATTCTGAACGGCCCATCAACACATAAGAGGTCATTAGAACCAATAAAAGTAGACAAAACATGTTAAAGGAAAATACATCAAACGAACGAAAAAGGTAAAAAGACAAGCGTTAACTTGAATAAATTGCAAAAGTGACTATGATTTAGGTACACTACACACATGCATCTTGCACACAGGGGGGACCGTCCTTCTAATGACCATAGCTGCTAATAGGACGTTAAGCAATACTAAACCAAACCAAACCCAGGTTGTCTCCATACTCTAACGCGCCTGTCGGTGAAGTCGAGACAGACTCGGGACTCGTCAGTAAAAAGAACCGGTTCCCATTCCTGAAGAGTCCAAGTGCTGTGAGCTTGGGCCCAATCTAATCGGTACCTAACATGGCGGGCAAGTAAGGGAACTCGTATTGCTGGTCTACGTGACCTTAAACCAACATCATGAAGACGGTTCTTAGGAGGTCACTCGTAAAGCCGTGACAGTCTGGAAACTGTGACGCCGTGCCTGTATGAGGGAACATGGGTCTTGGCGCTTTGTTGTAGACATAGAACGACCTCCAGCATGGTTTCCGTTAATTATGAAACGATTTCACATACTTGCCACCTCGTTTTTAGACACCCCGAGGTCTGCTGCAACCTGACGTTGAGATATGCTACCTTGCAGCATTCCAGTGCCCCTATTCATTTCACCGTCATTTAACTGTTGTCTTGTTCGTCTTTGTGCCATATTAAAACCAAAACACGCAAAGAATATTCATCAAATTGATTTCCTTAACAATTTCAACAACGCCTTACTTGGCCTATCTTAGCTTTTGAAAGGGGTGTACACGTGGAAAAGCGTGCACGCGCTTTTATGGTCGACTGAACACACCCACACAAGACGATTTGGAAGGCTTACATATTCGCCCAAAACAGTACAGAAGGAAAATAAAACATCCTTTCTAACATTGAGTTTTTTTCTTCAAAATATAGGTGATCCTTAGCAAAAAGTGAGTAGTATGTTTCAGCATGTTATGCACTGGTGTACACATACTTAGAAACAGGATCCTTTAAAATGATTCATTTCGGAAGGCGCGGGCACTGGAAAATCCCATCCTATTGAATGATTCCAAACACATTGTGATGACCCAGCTCCTATCTCTGTACTCTTTGTTGCCCCAACAGGAACTGCAGCACATACATAATAGTTCTGGAGTAACACTACACTTTTTTGATGCCACAAGCAAAGTCATACACCAAAGTATCTGACGATAAACGAAATACACTCAGGTCTAAGTTAAGGAACCTCAGGTTGTTAATTATAGATTAGATATCAATGGTAGAAGTGGGCTTTTTCATGCAAATACACTACCGACTGTGTGAAATAACTGGGAGCTTGGATTCGTTTGGTGGTATTTCCATTAAAACATTTGGGGATTTCTTTCAACTGCCACCAGTTCTACAGCAAATCATCTTTAAACCTCATCATGATCCAATTTTGTCTTTGTATGGTAATTTTTGGACATACTTTAATACATTCATTACTAAACAGCATCCCATACTAAGGATGATGTAGATTTACTAGCTTCAAAATGCATACAACATGATTCTGCTAATTATCCTTGTGAAGATGTTCACGTGTTTGCCACTAATAAAAAGGTTGGAACACCACAACGATAATGCTAAACAGCCTAAATCAACCTTTAAAGCAGGCTGTGGATAAGTTTCCTGATGAATTGAAAAACTATTCACCTTGTGAAGACACATTATTTACTGGTGGGCTACCAAATCAAGTTACATTAGCTATTGGAGCTAGAATAGTGCTCATTAGAAAAATTGACGTGTACGATGGTTAAGTAAATGGAGCCCAAGGCATATTTTTTGCCTTTATTACACATTCTGATACAACTGTACTTGGGAGTAAAATTTCGGACAGGATTTAATGCCAGAAAAATGTCACCTTTTCCATCTCAGACAAAAGACTTTCCTAACGCAACCCCTGTGTTAAGATCATAGGTCTCTTACACGATCACATCTCAATCAAAGGGACTTGCTATTACACATTCCACTGAAGCTTTCCTGGGGGTGTACTATCTATAAAGTCCAAGGACTGACTCTTGAAAATATTGTTTTCCTTTTGAAAACAGGTTTTCCCATGGATAAGCAAGCTTATGTTGCGAAAAGTAGAGCAAGGACATTGCGTGGACTTTATCTTAAACATTTTGATCCCCTAAAAAAATCAGCAAACTCATCAGTTATTCACGAAATGCAACGAATGAAGATGGAATGTTCACTGCCAGTGTATTTGTCATGTCTGCAAACCCCTCCACAAAACCTTTCTATTTCACTATTGAATGTGCGGTCAATTGTCAAACATGAGGAAGATGTCATTCTATTTTTAAAAGGAGTGATATTAGGATATTCTCAGAAACAAGGCTTTCACCATCAATATCAAATATATTCCTGGAATGTACAAAGGCCAATACATTATACAGAGGTGACATATTACGGCTGGATGACAGACAGTCTAGAACTCCTGGAGGCATTTCTTTTCTTGTTAAAAATTCTATTAAAACACAAGAAAGCATGGGTTACAAAGGATAATCCACTCAAATTTTTGCCATTGATGTTAATGCTATATCATATTACTTCGCGCGTGTAGCTATTGATCACTCATCGTCGGCTAAATCAGATCTGTGTACTATTTTTCACAATGTTATAAACAAAAATCAAATAACAAAGTATGACAAAATCATTGTTGCTGGTGATATAAATCAAAATGTGCTGGAGTCTCATCTTCCTGATATTGTGACATCTTTGCGCGACATTAGATACAAACAGCATGCGGCAGATCAAACACACATGAGCGGTTCCTTTCTAGATCAATTTTATACAAAGAACTTTGTTGTTGAAGAAGTGCCGTTGAATGTTATTTCAGTGACCATAGCTGGGTACATGCAGCTATTTGAAACTCTACGAGGTACAAGCAGGTATTTGTTTTATAATTCTACAAATCGCATAAAAAAAACCCAGCAGAACAATGGAGTGTTTAAAGTATTTCTAAGAAAATGCTACCTTCTATACTTGGTACAACTCTTTAACTGCATCACCTATTTTGTAAAGAATATCTTGTGCAATTAACACATTACCCATTAAACACATTACACATTGAAGGGGTGATTAAGTGAAGTTGGATATTCTTCTGTAACTATGTCACATAACCGTTAATAAAAACAGTTTGATATTTTTTATGAACAATTTATCCCAAAATA